CTACCCCCGGAAGAAGTTTTGTGAAGCGAATGTTTAGCGCCACCAGACTCCAACCTTGTCGACGGGTGACGATCGCGATCCGAAGGCTCACTATCGCAGTTGGCCGCGCTTTCCGAATCGTCCTGTTCCATGCACAGTACGGCAGCGTTCGTACAAATGACGCTGACGCTAAAAAATCACGTAGTCTTCAGGAACGCACCAAAAGACGAACCGGTGACAAACACTACCAACCACTATAAGTGTTAGCTAGCTATTCCGGCATTACTAGTTAATTATTATGTCAACACTATGCCGTCGGCAGCGACTAATTAAGCAGGCGAATCACGAGCACTTGACTGCTACCCTCACGGTTTCGTTTCCACGAAACACAAAAGAATTATGAGGTCTACCGCAATGTCAGCTACGACAAAATCTTTGTTAACCATACTTTCCAGACTTGACGGGTACCGACTAATCGACAGCTCCCCATCATACGTATTACGTTGCCAAATTAATCAATAGTATAAATAATAGAGTATATGTGCCTCGCGAACGAAACACGCTACGCATTTCCAGTGCGGGAAGAAGTAACATAACATAGAGGAAGAAAAGTTAAGTTCTCGCGTCCGTCGCATCTCAGTTGGCTGTTGAAGTCATCATACTGAGTTCAACAGCCCAAGCAAGAGAAGTTATCTTAAAAAGATTACGTATGAACCACGAATCTCGGGTAGTTGGCTTTGCTGCTTTTGGTTGAGGCAAATGAGTTCCATTCCAGGTTACAAGAATGATTAATCCTATTGGCAGACTTTGAACTGCCTGATACAAAAGCGTGATGATCAATAAACGTTTACACGGGGTACTTTTATTGCAGACATTGTTGTTCCACCCCATAGCCAGAGCAGTTTGATCCATCGACTGATATGGTTCAGACTTTCTGGAATTGTGGCTTGCTTAAAGGGGTTCTTTGGGTCGGTAAAAGTAAGGCGGTATGCAAAGCAACGTTAGGTTGTACCACTTCAAAGCGAAAAGTGTCTCCTACTATTTAAGATAACTGACTCTCCTCATCTTGTTTTGTTTCGCACGTCAGCAGCATATTTGAAAGACCTCGGTTTCACGTTGCAGACAAAACTCCAAACAAGGTCCCGGAGGTTCATTTTATAAGACGAATTTCATATCCATCACTGACAGCGTTCTTGATCACAGAATTAAGCATAAAGAAAATGACCAATGACATCAGAGATGACATCGGCACGACAGCCGGGATGAAGGAACACGATGCTATTCGAAAGTTACCCCTACTGTATTCGAAGACTGTGGCATTTGCTGTCGAATGCAGACCAACGATTTGGCTGCTACTGATACGGGTGGAACAGTTCACGGTCTTTAGCGAATGAACAGTCGTTGCGTGTATCCTTCAGCGATCAAAGAAAGCCGACAAGACGAATCGGTATTAGGTCGTATTTTACTAGTTCTATAGAAAACACGGTCCTATAAGCTCAACGCAGAAGCCTATCGGACTATTGTATCATTAACCGACGTCCTAACATTTCTCGAGGTTCAGTTCGTGTCTGAAGCTAATTAACCGCCGCTTACCACCTTCTGTTTTTTCCTGTGGACCGGAAATTGCAGTTTCTTGCTGTGTGACTTTCAAGAATAGCAGTTATGGTCAGCGGCAATCAACGCCCTTGAGACTAGAACCTACCCCGATAAATCTCAGTTAATTAATAATTTGAAATTTCAATTAATCCTATAACCATCCGATAGGCATCTATCTGACGTTGTGCTTATGGAGTTATATTAAAATGCAGAAATATCGAACTTTACCTTGAACGACGGCCGAACGTCGGCAGTCGTTGTCATTTGTTGTGGTTATCACCATGCACCACAGAAGAGGCAATTTTTATCTAAAAGCAGATCTGCTTCCGTGTTGTTTATCGGTGTTGCATGGCAATCACCTAACCAACGTCTACTCTGTTTCGGTTAGTAGAACCTCATAGGCAGCAGTGACTGGTTCATGCCCAGCGAATCTGTCCAGCAGGCTCAACCTCTTTTCCAGATCTGCAGTTTAGCCAGCGAGTCTGAACAGATATGAGCGTCTCGTCCTGCCATCTAATTCGATCATTATGTATGTCGATGCCAGCACTAAAATGATGTTCTCTGTCGTTCCTGTTAAAGGTGGTCATTATGCTGCATAACAGCACAGGTTTATTCAAAACAAGGCCAGAAGGGTTCCGTGGAAACGGATACCCCAATGTCCTTATATGTCCAAATATCTGACATATCATGGAAAGCACAAGAGCCATCCTTAACTTCAGTTGCTTGGTGTTCATGAAACGGAGGTATGTAAACCGGTCGAAGGTATGTACCATTTTGCCTCCGTGTTATGGTTGGGCCTACTGTTTGGCGGATGAGCTCCTCACATTCATTGAGTTATGTTCGGTGCGTTATGGAGGAAAACGGCTTTCGCCGCTGTATTGAATACAGAAGTCATTAAGCAGCATATTTAGCTCACTCATCAGGGCAACGCTACCCGCTGTTCCAATTCACCAAGACTATGTCCGACATCTTGAACTGCGCCTTCCTTCTAGAACGAGACCATTGTTTGTTCAGATCAACCTTGCTTCGAAGGAGAAAGTGTCAAACGTAACACTTCATTAGCTAACGGCTGATCACCTTGACAATTCTGGAATATGCCTTGTGCCCTAAACTATACTTCTGATTCGTTCAGCATTGAGAAAGAAGGAAGTAGTGGAGATATGTGCTGGATGACAGTAAGAGAAAGTGACAATTATTGGGTACAACTGACACGTTGCATGCTAATCTGTTTAACCGTGTCGTTGTTACTGTAAACAAGTTTCTACTGAGCAAGAAAGTAGCTCCATCGCAAATTAATCGCTCGAACCTCAAGGCGATCCTCAGAAGCAACAAATGCAGTCAGACAGCATGACCTGAATATGTAGATCGCAAATGAATTTTCTAGTGTCTATGAGTTTTCATGCGTGTTTGAAGCTTCATTCTCTCGTAGTGGAACTAAAAATCTGCATCTTTTCTCGATTCCCTGGCTCTTCAAGGAAACTGAACAGATGTAAACAGATGAGTCGATGGCCTCATCGAAATCGACGAACCCCAGACAGAAAGGAAGCTGATATTCACCACTTGTCTAAAGCACTTTTTGTATATCCTGGAGAAAATCCATCGTTCTAAATCCACTTTTTAAACCTACTTGCTCTCTTGGCCGCGCAGCGTCTAATGTTTTTTAAGCCTGTTCGTCAGATGATTGGCAACAGATTGACAGGCATGTAGTCCTTGAAACCATCCAGAATGTCCATTTACATCAGAGAGTGTGAGAAAAAGCGCGCTAATATCTTGATCAGTGCTTCACCTCCTGACTCCATGAGTTACTGCAATGCCGTTTTGACCAGCAGTCCTTTCTCGCGCTTATCGTTTTATTATATGCCGCACTTCTTCTGACAAGATATCGGGAATTTTATCAAATTTATCTGCCTTCATTCAGCTTAGGCATCGTTCACTAGGGAGCATCCTATTCGTGACATGAGGGTAGATTACAACAAAACTGCGGAGTGCTCATTTTCGTACACTGAAAATCGTCATCGGTCAAGTTTTTACCTGGTGAAACGGACAAGTACAGAAAGCATCCTTCTCTCATCCATCCCAAGAAGACAATGGAAATGATGGAATGAGGCTGTAAAATTTTACATGATATCCATTTTTACAGAAAATAGAAATTTACCACCAAGTTTAGGAGAGACCTTAATCCAGCAGTGGATCGAAATAAGCTGATGATGAAGACGATGACGATCGATATTTAGAAGGATCCGTAACGTTTGGTGGCCTGGGGGCATGGAAAGTCAATGAGGAGCGAAAACCCCCGTTGACCGCAATGCATTTGATAAAATGGTTCTTATGGAAAAGGAGACCAAAATTCGCTGGATTTAACTTGAACGCCTTCCCGTCAGTTAGGGAGAGTTCAAGAAACGTGATTATCCATGCAGTTGAACCATAACTATTACATATAAGCTTTGATAAATCGTAGAAGCTGCCTGGAAACGAAATGTGGTGATAAACTGCAACCGGATTTCGATCTCTTCCAAAATCCCGCAACGAAACTATCAGACACCAGGATGTCGACTGAGTCCTTGTCTAGTAAAACAACGTTGAACGTTATGATGGATTTTACTTTATTATCACCATACTTGCGGGACGCATCGGTAGGCACAAGCCTGTCTGTTGAAGAGCTGTACAATTTCCATAGCAAGGAAAATGAGAAATAATCATACGAATCGAACTCTGCTAGAACACGCGACAGAAAGACAGACAGACACAGTGTAGTCCATTCGAAAAAAGGATGAAACGTGCAGATGAACTTTGGTGCCTGGGAGCGTAAAATGCATTTTCTGAATTATCTGGAAAATATATAATCGCTGAGGAAAATAACCAAAGGTATAGCATGAATTACTATTTGCCAGCGGAGAAGGGCAAATTTTGTTGGCCTTCGAACACATCCTTGTTTAGCTCAACTCAGAGATGCGGTTTTGCATCCGATGTCCTGCAGGCTCTCAAACACCACGGAGCGACGGATTACTAAATTTGTTCTCTCAGGCCACTAGAAGAAATGGAACTGGCTGTAAATGCAATATTCACCGGCGGAATTGCTAACAGCTCTGTATGGCGGCGAGACCCCAGCATAAAGGAAAAACTGTTAAGAGTGCAACAGCGGACTGTGGAAAGAAGGACTGTAGGCATTTCCATCAAGGAAAAGCTGCGAAACGAAGAAATTGGAATGAAGGGCGATGTAAAGTAAACGACAACCGGTAGGTCACCTCGCACGTTTGACTGGTCACTCATGGACTTCAGCAGCGATGGGTCGGCTTCATCGAGGCTGCAAGTGCCCAAACGGAAGACCTCGTCTAAGACTGGACAACAAGTTAAAAGTGAGAGAGAGATGGAAGAAGATGGCGACGAACCTCACGATACGATACTAGGCAATCATGATCTGATCCTCTTTAATTACGAAGAATGATCAGTCAATTGTCAATCTACCGTCGAATTTGCAAAACTGCCGTCCGTAGTAGCTGATCGGAACATCGCGGCTATATCTATATCTTTATCGTTATACGTGCAACTTGTCTTTGATCCTAATATATTTGCGCTGTCTATACGACCTGGA